GGGGAAAATTAGAGTAACTAATTAGTCGACATCGTTGATTTAGTTACATTAGTCATTTACACGCGTTGGTCATAGGAAGCGGATATCCAAAATTGGAATTAGGTTAAGGTAGGTACCCTGGTCGGATCGGTAGGGGGGAACGGACATAGACAGTTTTTGTGATACCCCATAAGATCGCTAGCAGGGGGGAAGGAAACGCGTGGCAATTAGGTACAAGACATTTTTTTCGATAGAAGGTAGACATTTGTCACCTTTGAATTTTAGGTGGGCTCATCTTTCTGTTTTTATTACTTTTTCTTGCTTAGATTTTTGTTGCATTTTGGTGAGGATTTGTGTTAAAATTTTGTACGAACAGGTGATCACAAGATACCTGCGCACAGGTTTTGGTCTCAAGTTACTTGGAACATTGAAATAGAGGTAGCCAAAAAGAGAAATAAGAAAAAGGGGGGTCAGCATTTGGCTTTTAAGAGAGGATTTTGGGAAAATTTTACTAGAGCTTGAGTGGTGGTACAAGGTACGGCGAATCAAGAAGTCCCCATAACGAAGAGGAAAGAAGTCCCACCACCCAGACACTTGTCAACAGTCTTGGTACAGTGCCGAAGAAGTCTTAGGACAGAGCAGTCTGGGGACAGTCTTGGGACAGTACAGTCTTGGGACAGTGGTCTTGGGACAGGGTCTTGGGACAGGGTCTTGGGACAAGGGTCTTGGGACAGGGTCTTGGGACAAGGTCTTGGGACAAGGTCTTGGGACAAGGGTCTTGGGACAGGGTCTTGGGACAGGGTCTTGGGACAGGGTCTTGGGACAAGGTCTTGGGACAGGGTCTTGGGACAAGGTCTTGGGACAGGGTCTTGGGACAAGGTCTCGGGACAAGGGTCTTGGGACAGGGTCTTGGGACAGGGTCTTGGGACAAGGTCTTGGGACAGGGTCTTGGGACAAGGTCTTGGGACACTAGTCTTGGGACAGTAGTCTTGGGACAGTAGTCTTGGGACACTAGTCTTGGGACACTAGTCTTGGGACACTAATCTTGGGACAGTAGTCTTGGGACACTAGCCTTGGGACAGTAGTCTTGGACAAGAGTCTTGGGACACGGCCGGAAAGTACTGGGACGGTACCGAACAGTCTTGGGACAGGAGAAAGAAGCCTGGGACGGTACAAAGAAGAGTAGGGACGGCAATTGGAAGTCTTGGGACAGTATAAAAATTGAAGTAAAATTACAAGAAGTGTTTTAAGACAGAATTAAGGTAGAACAAGACTAATTGGAACCAGGTACGGTTGAGACCACAAATAAGGAAAGTTTCTCGAAAAGTTAATAAAGAGAACTGAAACAAGGTTTTCACCACGTTGTATATATTTTTTTTTTTTTAAAGAGATTTTTTTTCCTCTCGAAAGATTTTATTCTTAGAATAGGATTGTGTATATAGTAAAATTGTAAATAAGAGCAATTGTAAATAGAAATAATGAGGCGGAGCAGGGTACCGGTAGCTGAAAAAAGACCTACCGAAGCAAAGTATAATTCGTCGCTACGCAAAACAACATCAATGGGTCCGAAGATAACAAAGAAGAGCTTTTCAGTTAATATGGTCAGCACAAGGAGTACAACGGAGAGAGCAAGAGAGGGCATGGAAGGGGAACGAGTAGAACCCACCATCGAGATTGATCTAGAGACACCTGATCAAAGTGTTGATGAAACAAGGAAAATAGCGACTGAGTCAACTCCAATGCCCAATGCAGAAGAACCAAACTCGAAACCCATAGAATTCTCACCAATAGACAACGTGGAAGATGCAACAGGCAACACCGAAGAAACGGTGAAAGAAGACTCTCAAGTAAAAAAGACATCTTTTACAGAAAGGTTGGCGATGATGGTCGGAATAAAAACGAAAGAGAACGTGACTGAAGAACCAAAAGCTGAAAGAGCACGAACATTTGGAACAGTGAGCACGAAGACGACAGAAGCCAATCCGAGAGAGGAACAAACTAGAGCAGAAGCGACGGCCGAAGAAAAACCGACGGCTGACCATGAAGAGGCTACTCTTGAGCTAGGTGACTTGATGGCGAAACTGAATCAGATCGACAAAAAGCTGAAGCACAGCGAAGAGGACAGAGAAGTGATAAGAAAAGAATTAAGATACAACAAAAACGAGTATCTGGATAGTTATTTTAACCTGGCCAAGGCAACAGAAGAGAGACTCAAGGAGATGTCAGATAATGTAGAAACCACCAATGAAGAACGAGATAAGAACATCAAAAAAGATTTGCAACAGTTAAAAAACCGATATGATGATGTCAACAGCCAATTAGGTAGCCTGGAAAAGAGAATGGACACAATGAGCAAAAATCAGGCCGAGAGTTCGTGTGCAATACAGGCGAAATTGGATGCAATCTTGAGTAATTCTACCTCACAAGAAAGACCGGCAGCGGATCGCACGCAAGGCACCAGAGTTGACTTTGTGGAACCACAAAGGAACAAACGGCAATCGACACCGTTGCCCTTAACCCGGGATACGGTGAACATAGCACCAACAGCTGCTAAAACAATAGGAGATGATAGGAGAGATGGGAAATCAAGAAAAACATTCAAGAAGCCAAAAGAATTCAAAGACGACTCAGATGGATGCATTGACACGTGGGTGGAAGTGATGAGATTACATCTAGAGCAAGACAACTTGAACGATGAAAGACAAGCATGCACAGCCATACTCAGCAATTTACAAGGCACAGCATTAAAATGCGTGGTTGCGAAGAAAGAAGAAGAACGCGATACCGCGGACAAGATCTTCGAGATATTGCTGAATCGATTCGGGTCAGGCATGAAGGGTCACCAAGCGATGATGCGATTTGAAAAGAGAAGGCAGAGGGACGACGAGTCAATAGATCGGTTCCTAGATGATCTCGAGAGCTTGAGAAGAAGGAGTGACCCAGAGGAGTCGACAAACAGAAGAAACTTTAGCATTGCCTCGAAGTTCATTGATGGGGTAAAAAGTGACGACTTAAGGACAATGTTAGCAACATACTACACATTGTCGAAAGACAGCGCACCAACCCCAGAAGAAATGAGACAGAAATCAAGGGAATACATGCTGATGAAACCCAAGAAATACTCGTATTCAGAAAACAGGAACACGCAAGGGGGAAGTCAACCGCAGAGGTCGTCATGGTACAAACCTAGAGATGACATGGACAAGCGCAGATCATGCGCGAACTGCGGGTCGGCGGATCACCACGTGGCTGACTGCACAACATACAATCAAGGCATGAAGAGTCTAGGATATGCACCAGATGAGGAGGACATGAGCCAGATGGAGGAACACGAGTACTATAGTGGCTTAATCATCAAGATAGGCGCAAGATGCTTCTTCTGTAACCAGGAGGGGCACTTCCGAATGGATTGTCCCTTGTTCTGGGAAGGGGTCAAGGACCAGAGTCACCCTAAACATAAGTTGGCATTAGCGGCGGTGCAGAATCAGCGGAAGAGACAAAACGAATTTGAATCGAGGAACTTAGGAGCACCAAGCACGGAATTGCCGACGAAGACAGTGAAAGCTGTATCACATGTTAATGATGCCATAGAATCCGCGGCAGGGAACTCTCTAGAGATAAATTATGAGAAAGCGGCGACGGAAGCAATTGCCAAAGTGAAACAGGATCTGGCTGCGAAAGAAATAGAGCAACGACTAAAGCTGGAGATAGAAAGACAGAATTTTAACGAAGCATTAACCGGATCGAAACAAATACCAGAGGCTATACCAGGCTCAACAAAGACCGGGAATTGCAATACTGTGAAAATGGTGACAGGTAAACCTTTTGGCATATCGAAAATCGGGGCAAGGATAATGTCGATAATCACAGTGGGCGGCCACGAGGTAACCAGAAACTTGAGCGAGCCGAGCGACCAGACGATAATGCACATTGACGTGTATGCAGACTATTTGAGTGGTATAAGCCCACAAACGACTTCTAGAGCACTGAGAGCACTACTCATGAGAGGGGGCAGCAAGTCGGTACGTGTTGATAGCAGATATACTGAAGCTTACGGTCCACACGAGGTGATGCTAAATATAGATGGGATTAACATCTATACCAAGACGATGATAACATGTGACGAAGACCTAATTGGACAAATCTACGTAGGGAAAGAAGAATTGAAAGTGAGATCGATTGGACACTGCGCCATGCTTGAGGAAGATGCAATGCACATCGGGACGGAGGCAGATGTGACAGGGCACGTGCTGGATATAAGTGGCAAAAAGACTCAGTTGCGTGGGTTGCTTGACACGGGAGCAGTCTTGAGCGTTATACCAATCGAAACATGGGAGAAGATGGGCTTTGACAAAGGTGACTTGATAGACTCGAGAATACGGCTGTCAGCTGCAAACAAAGGGGCCCTACGGGTGCTGGGCAGGACGCCGATAATAGCCCTCAATTTGGGGGAACGTAACCTGTGGATGAGCTTTATCGTGGTAGAAAACCTAGATGAATCTGACCAATTCATTTTGGGCAGAGACTTCATCAGGAATTTCGACGTAACGATTGATTTAAATAACGCAATGTTCAGGATACGGAACCCGGATAGGACGTACGCAATCAAACCGGTAAATTTAATAATGGCAAATGAAAACAAAGCACCGGTATTCTTGAGTAGGAGGGTGAGGCTAAAAGCTAATGAAGCGGCAATCGTAAGTTTGAGGATGAAAAATTACAATGAACTAAGTGACAACAAGCAAGTGTGCATAGTTCCGAATCCTAATAGTCAAAGTGCTGCTGTTTTAGGAAGATCATTTTCGATAACGAAGAGCGGCCTCTGCGTCAGTGTCTTGTTGAATACCCTTGATATACCGATCACGATACAGAGAGGGAGGAAACTGGGATATGCTTTACCGGTTAAAACTCGATATGAAACAATTGAGAACTCAAAACAAAATGAAGTTGTTAATTGTCCCAATCACAGGGACAAAATTTGTATCTTGAGACGATTGCAGAAAATAAAAGATTCTTCAGGTCTTATTAAATCACTTAAGTCAGAAACGGATGATGGTCTTTCAAGCTGTTCGAACTTTCCAGAGCGACCCACACTAGATGAAATGCAAAATGAAAAACCGGTCCTGCCGGAGATTGAACATTTGAGGGGCAAACTGAAAGATGAACAGCTCGAAGCCATCAAGGACGTACTAGAGCGGAACGAGGAAGTTTTTTCGAGGCATAAGGCGGATATCGGGTGTTGTAATTTCGTTGAGCATGAAATAGAACTTGAGGAAAACGCGGTACCACACAGGGAGGGGGCGAGGCGCATGACCCCACACAAATCGGACGCGTGTAGAAAAGAGATCGAGACGTTACTAGAGTATGACATGATAGAACCATCCAAGTCACCGTGGGCGTGTGGAGTAGTGATGGCCAAAAAGAAAGGCGACCAGTTGAGGTTTTGTTGTGACTTTCGATACCTGAACTCCGTCACGGTGAAGGATGCCTATCCCATACCTAGGATTGATGAGAGCCTCTCGAAGTTAGGTGATGCAAAATTTTTTACGACTCTTGATTTAGGCTCGGCCTTTTGGCAAGTACCACTAAGGAAGCAGGACAGGGACAAGACAGGGTTTGCCTGCGAGTTGGGTCTGTTTCAATGGAAACGGATGCCGTTTGGACTTTGCAATGCCACAGCCACGTTTCAGCGGTTGATGGCACACGCGCTGATAGGCGTAACGAAGAAGTATGGCAACCTGGTAATGTGCTACGTGGATGACGTGGTAATAGCGACGCCGACACTGGAAGACCACATTGAGAGACTAGACGAAGTGTTTGCATGCATGAAGAGGTCGGGGCTAAAGTGTAAACCATCAAAGTGCGAGATACTCAAGGACTCAATAAAATACTTGGGCAGGATGGTAGACAAGCACGGCATCAGACCTGATACGGACGCCGTGGAAGCAGTCCTGACCTGTAAATCACCGAAGACAGAGCACCAGTTGATGAGCTTCCTGGGTTTCGCTAACTATTATAGAGAATTCATCAAAGGCTATGCAGACAAGGTATACCCAATGCAACAATTAATGAGACACAAGTGCAAGAAGTTCACATGGAACAACGCAGCAGAAGAGTCATTCCAGAGAATAAAGAAAGAGCTATGTGAGGCACCAGTACTGGGTATGCCGACTGAGAAAGGGATGTACGTGCTGGACACGGATGCGTCGGTAGTCGCGATTTCTGGGATTCTCCACCAAGAACAAGAATGGAATGGGAAGACAGTCTTGAGACCAATAGCGTACGGGAGCAAAGTCCTGAGTGACACGGAAATGAATTACGGAGCACCGAAAGCTGAGATGTTCGCGGTGGTTACCTTTGTCGAGAAATACAGGGCATACCTGGGCAGTGAGCCATTCAAGTTGCGAGTCGACAACAGAGCACTGAGCTGGCTGAAAACGTACTCAATGGACCAAAGTTACATTGGGAGGTGGATAGTTCGGCTGGACGGATACAACATGATAATTGAGCATAGAACGCGAGATAAACATCAGAATGCCGACAGCTTGAGTAAGAAGACGGAGTTCTATGAGAGACAAGAGCAAAGAGAAGCAGACAGACCTGAAATCAAAGATGGCTTCTCATTCATGGACAAGGAAACGTACGACAGTCTTCCACTCACGAGATGGCTGGACAAGTCAGGCAAACCGATAGAAGATCATCCTGAATTGCCTAAAGAGCCTCCAGAGAAGACCATCTTGAGGAAGAGCAAGAGGATTCCGATTGAGATTATACTCAAGTCGAAGATCGTGAAGGAGACGCTCAAGGCAAAAGGCTATGATCTTAACCAGGTGGAAGCAGGAACTGCACAGATAGATGATGACTTAATGAGGTTGCTCGAGAAACTATCAGATGATAAGCCCGTGATCCAGGAGAAGGGTCAAGAGAAACCGTAATTCACTATACTTCGGAGAAAAGAGGCAGTGAACGATACTGACTCATCAAGAGGAAGCGTCACTGACAGCAAAGATGTCGTGCGGTCACTAGTTGACAAAATCCCCGAAGACATTCTGGAGCAGACCAAGGTTAGGAAAAAGAAAGTGACGTTCAAGGAAGATACTGAACACCTGGGACTAGGTCAAGAGTCCGGGGAGTGTTCCAGGTTCACGGAAGAAGGAACCGGAGAAGGAAAATTGTCCGGGGAGCGTGAAGGGTGGGATGAAGACTCGGATGAGAGCAGCGAAAACCAAGACAGTCTGTGCATGATACTGGCGGAAGAGAAGACAAGGCACCACGACAGGGAGTTACAGACGGATCCATCTTCAGGAACATACAACATGGACATACAGGAGATGCGAGGTGGTGAGGAACTTGAGAAAATGGCGGTCGCAAGGAAACCATTCAGGGAACTATCATGCAACTCAAACATCAGAACGAATCTGGTGCCAGAAGATGATATGAAAATCGTGAAAAGGATGATATGCGTGAAACTGAGTGATGACATCCACAACCCTGGGGAGATGAATGGACAAATCATGGCGCTAAAGGAGCATGTCAAGGCGAGATATAGGCTGTCAGACCTAATAAGAGCCCAGAAGAATGACAAAATGACAAGTAACCTCTCCAAATGGATCCAGTCGGGGGTCAAGGAGAAGGGGGAACTTGAGGAAGACAGCTACAAGATCTTGAGCCAGTTCTACAAAGAAAAGAAAGACTTGCTTCATCACACAGCTGAGGGGGTGGTAGCGTGCAAGAGGAGAGATGAAGAAAAGATATTACACAAACACAATCTCATCATACTACCACAGTTGTACCAGACGGAGGTGCTTTTCAGATCGCACGACCAGATGGGCCACCAGGTGATAGACAAAGTACAACAAAGGATACTTCACAGGTTTGATTGGCCAGGAATGAGAAAAGCTTGCGAGAGATGGGTGAATGCCTGCCTGGCATGTCTCCAGGTAAAAGACCCAAGGAAGATGAAGTTTCCACTCAAGTCCGTTGAGAGCTCGGAGTTCAATGAAGTGGTGCAGATAGACCATCAAAAAATCTGCATGACAGAGTCGGGATACAACCAGATACTGGTTATAATAGATCACTTCACAAAGTTGGCGGAAGCGGTTCCGTGCCAGACAGCCTCGGCCGAAGAGACATGTGATCATCTGATAACGCATTGGATATCGCGGTATGGTTGTCCAATGACTTTCCAGTCGGACAACGGCAAAGCTTTTGTGGGGGACTTGACAAAAGAATTGATGAAGAGATCGCACATTGCTCAAGCACACTCGACGACCTATCATCCGCAGACCAATGGGTTGGTAGAGAGACAAAACAGGACACTGGTCAACATGTTAGGGGTGTACTGCTCAAGATACATGACGGACTGGGACAAATACCTGCCACAGGTAGTAGGAGCCTACAACAGTACACAGCACTCAACTACGGGCATCAGTCCTTTCATGATGTTGACGGGCAGGGAGAGAGCAATGCCTCTGACATTCTTTTACCCGGAATACGAAGGGAAAAGGACGTCGCCTCAGGCATACGTGAAAGAAGCGATCAAAAGACAACAGGAGTTGAACGAGCTATGCAGGAGGAACACGGCGCAAGCGCAAATGAGGCAACGCAGGAAATACGATGAAAAAATATTACGAGCAAAGCCATATGAAGTGGGCCAATACGTGTGGGTCTTCCAAAATGTCATACCGCCCAAGGGAACAAAGAAACTACTCAAGAAGTGGAGGGGACCATTCATGATAACGGAGGTTCATCAACAAGGACGGTTCTATCGCTTGAGTACTGGGCGAGCGGCACATTATGAAAATCTGAAGCCTCACGTCCCGTCCCCAGAGGATTGGTGCATACCGAAGGACATGGAGGGTCTTGAGTACCTGGTGGTAGAGCCAGCGTGTGAAGTGAATGAGAAAGGTACTCGAGAGAAAAATGATGGTAATGAGAACTTGAGTTTGGACGACAATGAAAAGATAGGAGTGGGGTCTGATGCAGGATCATTTGTAGAAGAAGACTGGAACGACCCGGAGCAAGACGAGGTGCCGAAGTGGATGGAGCCGGATCGACCAACACCACCGGAAACCAGGACTGGCAATCGTAAACGCACCGGCATGAGGTACAACAGGTACGGGGATGACTTCTTGATCGATAAGATACAGCCAGACAATTTGGGCGAGGAATTACTGAAGGCAGGCGAACTGGAAGCCGGAGAGGAATGGCAGGTCATTGACGATGGTGGTCATTATCCGCAGGATGATTAATCGACGCCAGAAGTAGAAACGGATCTCGAACAGAGTGAGATAGAGAGGAGGGACAACACGAACTTGAGGATTCTAGAGTGGATGCGTGATGTCAAAGACGAGAGCCGCGAAGGACAAAGCATTCAGCAAGTCGATGTATCAGCAGCAAATTACATGAAGACAGAGGACCCTCTTTTCGGATGGACGGCAACAGACAGGCCACTGGACATTCCTCAGGACAATTCAGACCCGACAACATCGACGGGGACGACGATAAATATTTTTGTCCGGGGAGTGGGGGTAGGACTTACCCACACCGAAAATTTGATGATAAAAAAGCTCAAGGAAGTGAGAGAAACGAGCGAATTGGAACTGGAGGAAGAAGAGCCAGAGCCTACTATAGGTCGGAATTTCAAAACAAAATTCGAAATACCCAATGAATACTCGGAGAACATCATGATAACAGATAGCGACTTCATCCTGTCAAACAGGACCAGCGCGATCTGCATCACGGCGGACATGAGTTTCAAATCAAGATTGGAAGCTGACTTCAAAAGAGAGTACCAGAATGTAGAGTTTCTGTTCAGACAGAGACCAGGACTGGGAGGGATGGCAGCGCTTCCACCGTCAGTGGCACAAGTCCCGGGCAATTATCTGTGCTTCCTAGTAACGAGGGTCAATGACAGGAACACAATCGATCCCGAACACGTGATATTGGCACTAACAAGATTACGAGACTTCATGATTGAAAGAGGGATAACAGAAGTCTCAATGCCGGTGTATGACCCAAACAGGGGCAAA